ATAAAGCTATGTCTGTTTCTTATTTGATTGTTGCTGGTAGAGGCTTTTTTTCCCTGTAGATTTTTACTCTTTTTGGTTTATTTTATTTGATATTGAGAGGGGAATATTTTATAATACAGCTTCATTCTACTATGTTAACTTGAGGGAAAAATTCTATAATACAGTTTTATTCTACCATGCTAACTTGAAGCTCAAGACACTAAATTTTAAAGAAATATTTTCATTTAAGGGAAAATTAATCATTAAAATCTACAGTGCCTTCAGCCTTAGTTTTGTAACACATACAGAGGATTTTTCTTAAATGTGGTTCATGCAAAAATCCTAATGACATCTTACCTTGTAGAAGCAGCCAACTATTAAGGTGTATCCCAGAATGAAAGAGAACTTACAGTGCAGAAACAAACATAAGATAAATTACTTTCAGATGATCTGACATTGTAGAAAAGTAATGCTCAGTGTATCTAGAGTGGTACCTGGTTAGAAAGCTTATTTAGTCCAATTTAATGTGTATATATCACTTTGATGAGGTGCTCTAAAATTGAAGATTCTGATTCAGTAGGTCTTAAATAGACCTGAGGTTCTATATTTCTAACAAGTTCCTAGATAACAATACTGTTGGTCTTAAATTACACATTCAGTAGCAAGGTTCTAGGCAATTATAGACTCAGGGATCCTGGACTTGACTGAATCTTTGAGACAAGGGTTTTTGCCTTATTCGTCATTGTATTCTTGTTGTCTAATGAAGTACCTAAATATATGCCCTGACATATTTTCTTATGAAATAATGAATTAATGAGTTGAATAAACGGATGACTACTAGGTACCTGGAATACTTGTGGTCTGCATCATTGGTTAAAGAAGAATTCTTATGTTTTGGAAACCAATGGATTATAGTAGGATTGCCATTAGCCTTAAAAGTATAAAATACAAAAAATTTTGCTCAGGCGAAAAACTGTCACACATCACACTCCTTTGGACAATAAAATATAGTTTCCCAAATACTTGAACAAATCCTTATTTGAACTCTGAAATTTATGTTCAGGTAACTGAACAAATTGTCCCCTTAAATATAAGCTAGTAGTTCTCTATTTCTTGGCTACATTTTAAAACTACTTGGGAGGCTTTTTAAAATCCTAGTGTGCAACAACCCAAGCAGCAGTATTTTTTTTAAGTTCACAGATGAAAACTGTACCTTGACTGTGAATCTTTGAGCCAAGGTCAGTGTTTCATTTATTTTTAACTCTTAACACCTAACAAAAGGTATATGATTCAGCAACTGTTTACATAATCAGTGGATGAATTATTTTATAAGAAAGTATTGCCTATTGTCAGCATTCTTTAGTATAAAGGGACTTTATTATCATCATGAAATTCAGTAAGTTTGATTGCCCTCTTAGTGCTGACAATATTAAAATTTTGTATTAGCTATACATATATTCTTTAGTACTTGAAATATTTTGTTGATACAATTTTAATTTCATATCATTTCTTTTTTTATCAAGTAGATTGTAAATGGAGTGTGGTCAGAGATAAGAAAACTGGCACAGTATGAAAATTCTGTGACCAAGTACTTAGGACTATTACAAGGAAATCTAAAGTGTTTTATATTCATTTGTGGGAGGGCAAGGTCAGTTAATCTCATTACTGAGCTGCAGCATCAACTATGTTGGTTTTTTTTTTTTTAAAGATTTATTTATTTATGCATACAAGAACTGGGGTACAAGCCAGAGGTGCTGGAGGTAAGAGGATTCACCAGAGACGGAGTGGGGAACAGAACAGGCAGATTGACGGAAATACACTGCTGAGGGAAGCAGCAGGCGAGTCAGGAGAGGTCTGCTGCACCATGTGGGTTACTCCCTGGCCGGGGGTCAAACTTGTGCTGCAGTGGCTGCGGATGGCTTCATAGGTTGCATCTTAACCCCTTGCGCCACCAGGGAGGCCCATCAGCTATGTTTTTTTAAAGAACAGAAATAGTAACTATTTACAAAGATGAATATTTACATTTTTCTAATTTTTAGATGGAAGGAGAAACAATGGAAATTTTAAATTTGGTTTCTGAAACCGCCACATTTTAAACTTTTATTATTATACTCATCAATTTGTGTGTGTGTGAAATTTTCTTATAACAAACCTATAACTATATCAGGGATGGCAATTCTTCAGTTAAACTCAGTTTGTCTATAGATATTTTGTAATTATAACAACGAAAAATCCCCTTCATTTGGAGCTTGGAATTTTCATTTCTGTAATATCAGAATGAAATAAAAAAAGAAAAGAAAGGGTGGAAATTATTTTTAGATCCTAGATTTGGCCTTCTAAATAATTATTCTGCATTTTCTGCCATTGATGAATTTGAAAACTGAGACCATTGTATTTCATATCTAGTTGTCAGCAAAAAAAGTTATAATTTTTTATTAAATTTTAGATCTAAATTGTAAAATGTTGATGAAAAATTATAATATCTTAAATTATATACATTAATATATAAATTATAATAAAGTAGGATTTGATTACAATTAAATGATTTTATAGTTCTTTTTAATGGGTAGATAAAAAGCAGGATGAATGAAAAGAATCAGCAATAGATAGAAGAGAAAGCAGAGATCTTATTTCCACTTCTTTATACACTAATAGGATAACTTTCAATGTGTGATCAAGGGGCACCCAGGAGCCCCCAAATTATTAAGGGGTGCACACTCTTTAAGGGATTTGACCATGCAAGCTCACAAAGGAAGCAGACTCATAATGTAAAAGTTCTTTAATAGAACTAGTGTGCAGAGAGAAAGAAGGGAGAAAGAATATTCCCAATAAAAGTTACCCAATGAAGCCTCCTTGGTGGTGCAAGGGGTTAAGCACTGCAATATGAAGAAATCCACAGCCTCTGCAGCATGAGTTCAGTCCCCAGCCAGCCAGGGAGAAACCCACATGGTGCTGTGGACTTCTCCTGTCTTGTCTGCTGCTCCCCTCAGCAGTGTATTTCAGTCAGTCTGCCTTTCTTTTCCCCACTCTGTCTCTGGTGGATCCTCTCACCCCCCACATCTCTGGCCTGTACCCCAGCTCTTGTATGATAAATAAATCTAAAAAAAAAAGTTACCCAATAAAACACCCAAATTACCTTGGGGGCAAATGCCCAGTCAAACAGGGTTGGCCCAATAATGGGCCTTAGACCCAAAAGATTGATGAAAGTTTAAGGCACCTTCTGGTGGAGGAGTGAGAAAAGAGGCCAGGCAAGTCTGAGAAAGAAGGAGAAATGTAAAAATACAAACCAAAGGCCTCCCTGGTGGTGCAAGCGGTTAAGCAGTGCACTATGAAGCAATTTACAGCCTCTGCAGCATGAGTTTGATTCCATCTCCGGCCGGCCAGGGAGAAACCCACATGACACAGCAGATCTCTCCTGTCTCGCCCGCTGCTCCCCTCAGCAGTGTATTTCAGTCAGTCTGCCTGTTCTGTTCCCCACTCTGTCTCTGGTGAATCCTCTCACCTCCCATATCTCTGGCTTGTACCCCAGCTCTTGTATGCATAAATAAATAAATCTTAAAAAAAATACAAATCAAGATAATGATGCCATTGTTTCTGCCAAATACATCCCCCCCCAACACACACATTTCTCACCCACATATCTCTCCTCCTTGTATCTCCTTCAAGTCTGTTTCCCAGCAGTACAAAGGTATAAGTAGGGTTGCAGAAGCAAAGGTGCCTGTGAGATTGCATGTCTTCAGTTATAAACCAAGGATGGTTGCTTTTAACTCCACTCCTAGTTCCCTGTAGCTCCCCTGCTCAGGAAGTCTGGTTCATGGCACTCTGGGACCTATAATCCAAGGGCAGCTGTACATTGTACAGGCGGGTAAAATGATACCTCTCCTTTACAATGTGTGCCTATAACATAAATTTCATAAATTATTAATCATTAGGTTGTCTTATCTGGAAAATTAAGAGAAAAATCTGCTAAGGTTTCTACCAGTCCAAAGTTACATGCTATGTAACTATAATTTCTATACATGTCATAGTATTGATGTGAGGAAAAAAAGGCACTATAGGCAATTATTTACTTATTCCTACACCTTGTTTTCAAAGCAATCCTATAAAATAAATATATAAGGTAGTAAAACTTTCCTAAACAATTTGAAACAGCAGAAAATATTGACTTAATGACACCCAGAATGCCTGCAAACATATGTTGAGGTTTCAACAGATCTGTTTTGAATCCTAGCTCTTCCTCCTAGTTTGATAAGCCCATGGGCAAGTGAATTTCTTGATCTCTCTGAGTCACTTATTGGAAAAATGACTGAGTCTAATTTTTAAATATTAAATGAAAAAAATTTTTAAAGATTTATTTATGCATACAAGAGCTGGGGTACAGGCCAGAGATGCGGGGGAGGGGGGGAGGGTGAGAGAACTCACCAGGGACAAAGTGGGGAACAGAATAGGCAGACCCACTGAAATACACTGCTGAGGGGAGCAGCAGGCAAGACAGCAGAGGTCTGCTGTGCCATGTGGCCGGCCCAGAATCGAATTTGTGCTGCAGAGGCTGTGAATTGCTTCATAGTGCAGTGCTTTACCCCTTGCGCCATCAGGGAGGCCTATTAAATGAAATATTAATATGACCTGATAAGATTGATGTAGTCATGAAATGAGATGATTTAATTAACACTTTGATAGTGCTTAATTTTTTGTTGACCTGAGTGCATTTTGAATGGCTGAAAATAAGGCAAATATGCTATACAAGTACATGATAAACATGAATTGTAAACTCTTTATGGTATTTCCTATACACTTTTAAGAATTTGATGTACCCTCATTTTCTGTAATAAATAAAATACCTAAAACTACAGTATTTTGAGCAAAAGTAAAACTTTACATGAATTGTGCTTCAAAATTTTCTTGTTGATTGTTGAAGAGAATCTGTGTTCCCTCATTTACATCAAATATTTAAATACTGAGATGTTTTGAAGGGGCAGGCAAATATGTCTGCACCTAATAATATTATTGCTTTCTTTCAGGAAACTCTGATAGATTGGTGTGATGAAAAGGAACTTAATTTGATATTAACAACTGGAGGAACAGGGTTTGCACCACGAGATGTCACTCCAGAGGTAAGATTATATATGCCTTTTTTATTTAAGAAATAGACTATTCATTTTTTAAGCCCTTTTTGTTATTATTATGTTACTTTATAGTGTTAGTAGGCAGAATAAGTGTGGCTCTAAGAATGTGAAAAATTCTTGGACAAATTGTTATATTAAAAAATGTCTTTTTTATTATTTTCCTTTGCACTTTAACTAGAAACTATATATAATATGAGGAAGAATTAACTGGTCTAGAAGGTCATCTTGCTTTTGTTCAGTGGTCTGTTATATCAGCTGAACTTCAGGAGGTGATAACTCCAACTCAACATGGCATCTCGTTCAATATACTCTTTCAATATATCTGATTTTCTTGAGACACTCTATAGTCATTGGTCTCAAAGCACAGTAGGATGACTGCAATAGAATATATATACCAATTTTACAGTACTTTTGATTAGGAAGTGTTATATATCTGGAAATTTTAAGTGTTAATTTAAATGTAGAATTTAATTTGCAAAATAAACCAAAAAACAAAAAAACAGAATTAGTACCTAGGTTTCTTACCACAAGAGTCATGTTAAACCTTTGCACAGGGAGAAATACCAGGGAAATAATGAAGACTAGGCAGTGTTGATTTATACAGTTGAAAAAGTCTTTCTTTTTTAATGAAGCCATATGCTTCAGGTGTCGTATCTTGTGAACTTATATTATCATGTGTGACTGTTTTCCTTTACCTTCCAAAAAGGTTTTTCTTGACTGAATTTCAATTTTATGTCCTTCTTTTTTCAAATCAGTACATTATTGTCTCATTGACAGTAATATACTTTTGCTTTGCATCTATTAATAATTACTGTGTATTTTTCTGGTATGGTAGTTTTCCACTTTTAGACTGTGTCACAACCAAAGGGCTTATTAAAATGCAAATGCTGGGCCCTATGCCAAAGTTTCTGATTCTGTAAATCTACAGTATGTCCTCAGAATTTATATTCTAACAAGACCCCTAGTAATACACATGTTGCCGGTTTAAAACCATACTTACAAACTTTGAGAACCAATGTTCTAGTATGTGAAAATGCATTTTTACAAATAATTTGTAAAATATTTTCTTATCTTACATAAAAAATCATGACAAAGAATTTTTTTGAAATATGCTAGAATTAGACCGATAAAATGGCTTTCTTGTTTTAAAGTAAATCAGAATAAAGTTGCATTGAAAAATTGTTAACTTCAACTGCTTAAAAAAATAAGTCATCCTTACATAATTTAGCTTCTGGGTTCAAGGGAAAATGTTCCTTTGGCCAGTTTTTGCATTTCTTTTAAAATGGGAGATTAACTTAAAAAGTGTAATTGGAGGGGGGCAATCTCCTGTAGGGTATGTTTGTGTTCTGTTTTCTTTGTATGGAAATAGACTACATATGTGAAGACACTGATTTTTTGGAGCTTGTTTGTTGTTTTAAGTGTTTGAAATAAATGAATTTTGGTTTGTATATCTTTATTTTTTTGTGTGTGATAACTTGATATTTTTATATTATTGGTTTTTATATCAGTAAAATACAAAAAAGTTACTAGAGTTCATTCATAACTAGATAACATGACTTTTTTAATTGTGGAGAAATAATTCCCATCACAAAGTTTAATGCTTAAGTTAATACAAAAACACTAAGTTAAAATTTCAAACCTTTGATTTCTGGATATATTGATGCTAACAAGGTTATTGTACACTAGTCATTAAATCACTATGCTTCAGTTTCCTATATGATGAGAGAACAAAAGTACCTATCTGGCTGGCTAGATGTAAGGATTCAATGAGAACTATTCCTGGCATTTTAGTAAGTGCTATAAAAGGGTTAATTTATAAGGGTTAAAGATTATTTTCATTAATTCCTACGTAACGGCCGAGTGACAAATTTGATAGCTTTTATTTTTATATGTAAACTACCAAATGGACAAAAAAGTCATATTACATTGAAAGTATATCCACTAAATCTACACAGTCTTGTTAAATTATTTTTAAATTTTTGACATAGTTAAGATTCCTACTATGTCTTTTTTAATCTCCATATAAACTAGAGGTTTTAAATTGCTAATATTCTGTAACTGTTTATTTTTCTCCCTCCCCTTCCTTTTTTGGTACTGTTAATTGTTTGTCTCCGTCAGTGACCCTTGTAGGTTTCATTTTATTATTGCAGAATCCTTTATTTTTAAAGTTTTCTGATTACTTGAAAACCTTAGTGTTACCCTTATATTTTATGTATCACATATGCCTTTAGGAACTACATGGGTAAAATGGTATGAGATTTTTTTTAATGAATTTAAAATATACTTAAATGTGTCTTCTCTAGTATTTACTTTTGAGAACAAGTGACTTAACCTGATTGCAATATCATGATCTCTAATAGAAAAACTTTACTTCAAATTTAATATGTATAATTACATATAGCATGATTGCCTACAGCAAGTGTTTGTAGGACTGCTATGCTTTTGAAATATAAATAAACATAAAAGCAACATAGTGCCAACCAACAATAATTCTACTAATTTCTTATTTCTTCTATACTCTTAAATTGTTACAATTCCTATAATATCTAAAATAGAACATTATAATATCAGGTAGGAATCCAAAAATACAAGTTTATACCTATAATAATACAGTCTTTAATGTCTTTGTCTTCGATAAGTGTGCCTTAAAAGATAGGAAATTATTACAATTTAAGATTGCAAATATTTTTATTGTTGTAAGAAGTTATTGAGTAAATGAAAATACCAATGATAAACATAAGATAAAACTCCCTTCAGGTACTAATATTTTACAGTTAATAATTACTAGCAACTAGTCTGATCTACTAACACAAATTATAATTGTTGTGGCATGTATATGTTAGAAAGCAAAGGGAGGGAAATGATAGAGTGAATGAAATAATGTAATGTAAATTTATTACCATTGGGTGTGAACCCTAGAGAAAGTGAAGTATTTAAGAGACTTAGATTTCTTCTCAGGTCCATTAAAAAGTAAAAGAAAATAACAAGTTTAATAATATATATCTCTCTGCATAATTTATAGAAATAAAGCATTTAGAATTGATTTTCCTAAATTTATGATTTGATTCTGTTTATATCTTAGAATATTGTTCATCTGATAATTCCCTATCTTCTTACCTTCTCTCTGTCTCAACATGAGATACTATCAAGGCTTACATAGAAATAGCATAATAAATCACACTTTTCAACTTTTAGATATGAAAACTTTATTTTTAAAGACTGGATTGAATTATCTCTTATCTGATAAGGACTGATATTCTATTTGCATTTATGAAATGTTAGTAATTATACAATTTTATAGAACATAAGAACTCATTGCTATACAAAGTATTATTTATCTCTTCGTACCCCATTATCACTTAAAATGATATGTGACCCAAAAGGGTATTATTACTTAAAGAAACTTTTATTGTTCTTAAAAGATAAAATTATAATTAAGGACATGTAAGTGACATGAATTGAAACTCCTTTAGACAAATTCTAGAGACTAAAAGATTAAGAAACATTAAAAATATATATTAGTTACAAAGAAATGTTTGCTATTGTTATAATAAATTAGAATATATTAAATTTTTAGTATTTATGGAAAGAATAACTTCTATCCCTTTTAGAGTACTACACTATAACAGAATAAAGATTTACATGTATTATATTGATCATGAATTAAAGAGTTAAATAAAAACCTACCATGCTATTTATTTACTCATTTACTCATTCATTCATCAGCATTTTCTTTTTAATCTTTAATATGTAACTGTTGCCACGCTCAGTGCTGAAATTAAAAAAATGAATAAATAATGCAATGTCCCGGTCCTCAAGAAATCATAGGGGTCAGCAAACTGTGGCCTGTAGTCCAAATTCAACTTTGTCATTTTTCTTTATTTTGTTATGAGTTGTGTACAGAGAATGGATTTGCATTTTTTAAGTAACTAGAAAGAAATGAAAAGGGGAATATTTTAAATTTCACTGTCCATAAATGAAGTTTTATTGGAATATAGCCACACTCATTCATTTACGTTTTGCCTTTGACTACAAAGCCAAATCGAACATTTTCTGTCAAAACATTATAGCCTGAAAAGCCTAAAATATTTGGATCATCTAACCATTTCAGAAAAAGTTTGACCAACCCCTGGTCTGTTGAATGAAAATAAATCATCTTTATCCATTTTTAAATTTTATGACTTTTAACTTTTGTTCGTTAATAATCTGAAATGGTGTTGGTTTTCATTGCTTAAATTTTTAACTTTTAAAGAAGCAAAGAAAAAGTGCTTTCCTGCCATAAAAAAGGAAATTGCCTCATTGACTCAAAAGATAATCTATAGCACAATAAAAATAATGACCCCATATTCTAAAGAAGATATTAAAATTAGAAACTTTGAATGTTAGTCAAATTAATGAATTTGTTGTACATTAAATGAAACCTCTCTCTTAAACAAAAATGTCTTGATACAATTTGTCAAAATGAAATAATCAAAATGAGAAATAGTAAAAAGTTCAAGAAATTATAAATTTGATATGAGCTATTCATTTGAAAAGATTCTTATGATTCGTTATGAAAGTAAAGAAGCATCTGACAAAATGACCAATACAAAAGTGGCAGAATACTCAAAATCCGCTACAAAGAATGAGTATCTAAGTAGTGATTATGAATTTTGGAAGGTGTATTCTACTTACTACCTATCATATTTATATTTCTTTGGAACAGATTACTATTGACACCTTTCTATAAATTTTTTTTCTACTTAAGTTATAAGAAATTTTTCCATGAAAATATTAAACCAAAGAAAAATTATTTTATGAAGTTTTTTCTATTATGCATTTGTAGAAATTTACACGATTCATTATTTTAGGACTGGGTGTACTAGAAGTTAGGTATTATTCTATGTAGCCTTTAACCTTTTTCCTGTGTTTCATTATAATGCTTCTAAAACCAAAGATATAATATAAGGGAAACAGAGTTGAACTGAGTTACTATAACACCAATCTGT